GGTTTAATTCATGCAATTGTAATTCGCTGGTTTCTTTATCCGCCTGACTTTAATTCGAATTAGCTCGGCTATAATTCGCCGGGTTCTAATTCGCCCGGCTTTGATTCGCTCACTTTCGCACGGTTCTGATTCGACAAATTTAAACCCGCCCTGTTTCAATTCGCCTGGCTTGAACTCGCCCAGTTTTAAGTCGTCCGCCTATAATTCGCCCGACTTGAATTCGCCCTGTCCCGACTCCTCTGACGCAAACACGAAAACACCGAAAGCGAAAGGGGGAGAAATCAAAACGGACGAAAAACAGCGGACGCTGCCAAAGGCGGACGAAACAAAAAACGTACGAAACAAAAGCGAGCGAAACAAAAGTGTGCGAAACAAAAGCGGGCGACACAAAAGCGGTCCAAACAAAAGCGGATGACACAATAACGCTGGGGGGTCGCAGGTGGGCTCCCCGAAATGTCCCAGGGGGGCACGCGCATGTTCCTGAGGGGCATCTCGGAGGCATCTTCTGACATGGAGGCCCCATGGAAGCTTCTGGGGGGCACCTGGAAGCCCCCTGGAGGCGCCCTGCAACCCCCTTGAAGCCCCTGGAGATATCCAGGGGCTCCTCGAAAGCCCCTCGGGCCCACTTGGGTAACTCTGGCAAGCCCTCTCGAAGCACCCAGCTGAATCAGTCAGCATCGAATCGGGAAACCGGGAGCTCGGATCGGGTCGGAAATTGCTTCGGATCGGGCCGCATCTACACGGAGCCGAGACCGAACCCGATCGGCCGCGCCAGGATGCGCAGTAGCACCGAGCGAGAATCGGGCCGCATCGGATCGTCAGAGGTCGGGATCGAGTCGAATGGGGCTGCCCACGTCGGCACCGAATTGGAACCATCGGGTCGAAGAGGGCTCTGCTGGGAGGGGGAGTGGTATATAAGGGAGGGCGGGGAGCTCCAGGTGAGGGGGTGAAGGGAGCGAAGCTGGAGGGGGAGGCGAGACTGGCAGGAGGGGAATTCGGCCTGCAAAGCTCGAGGCGATTCAGAAGCCCACAAACGAGAAGCTCACTCCAGGCCTAAGATCGGCCCAGCGAAGGCTCGTGAGAGCCTTTTTTTCCGGTGGTATCCTTAGCACAAGAGATAAGGATCGACGGGTCGAACTCGTTCGTGGGAGCGGGAGAGGATGAGAAGGGACGAAGAGGCAAACCGTGGTAGACGCCTGATCTGGCGCGCTCTTGCAGGATCGCGCAGCCGCTCTTCCTCCGACTGCCTCCACGCTGCTCCTCAATCCGTTCTGCTGATTCAAAAATCCTCCCTGTCGCAACCCCAGACGTGTGGGTAGGGCGGCCTGGAGTTTCGCCACAAACTTCCTAACCATGTACGGTCTTGAAGCTTGAAATGTGCAACAGTTTGCAGGATGGAAAGCGGGTGATTTTCACAATGTGGCTCTCGCCTTGGCGCCGCGCACATTCGTATTGAAAGTCTTTGGCCGCTTCAAAGATGGAGGGCGGATCGTTGTTAAAATGTGGCTCTCGCCTTAGCTCCGTGCACGTTCGCCCAAAAAATCGCAACTAGATTCAGGACGGAGGGCGGTTCAGGTTCGGAATGTAGCTGTTGTCTTAGGGCCGTGCCTATTAGTCATAAAGTGCGCCACCGTTTGTCAAAGATGGAGGGCGGGTCGTTTTCAATGTGTGGTTCTCGCCGAAGCGTTGCGCATGTTCGTCGCCAAGTTTGCAACAAATGTAAGGGTGTGCTTGCCTCAAGCCCCAGACATTGTGATTTGGCACGATTTAGGATTGCCAGGTGTTCAAGTCCCGGAGATAGCGTTCTGGCACGGCTTAGGACTTCCAGGGCGCCTCAATCACGTTGATGGATTTGTGTTTTGCCAAGATTGAGGATTCGCAGACGGCTGTCTTACAATGGGGCATTTCAAGCAATGAAAAATGGAAATGGGTTCATTGTAACATCGTTGATTCGCCTTGGGTTTGCTCTGGCCCTTCTCCTCCACATCCCCGTCGTCCTCCTCCTCCTCCTCTTCCTCCTCCTCTTCCTCCGATCATCGTCACACGCAGCATGATCATCATCACCATCATCAGCATCAACATCATCGTCATCATCATCAAAACCAGCATTCCCATATCATCATCGTCAGCATCATCATCAGCATCATCAGCATCTCACCAGCAGCAGAGTCAGAATCAGCATCAACATCAACAGCATCATCGTCGTCACCGAGCATCATCATCATCAACATCATCGTTATCATCATCAGCAGCATCAACAACAGCATCAGCATCAGCAGCAGCGTGGACGTCATCACCAGCAGCAGCGTCATAATCATAATCATCACGATAATCATCAGCAGCAGTACCATCGTCATCATAAGCATCACCCTCAACATCATCAGCATCATCATCGTCGTCGGCATCATCGTCGTCAGCATCATTGTCGTTTTATTCAGCATCGCCTGTATCGCCATCATCATCACTATCCTCATCATCATCTTCATCACCAGCAGCAGCAATGGTATAATCACCATCATCAGCATTAGTGGCATAATCGTCGCTATCATCGTCACCATCGTGGTTGCCCACATCAGCCGTCGTCCTCATCAGCAACAGCAGAAGCATCATCATCAGCCTCATCATCACCATCACCAAACTCAGAACCAGCATCAGCATCAACATCACCATCATCATCACCGTCATCATCAGCAGCAACATCAGCATCGTCATCAACATCGCCATCACCATCACCACCACCATGACACATTACCGTGGTCATCAGCATCATCAGCATCATCATCATCATCAGCAGCAGCAGCATCATCAGCAGCAGCAACATCATCCACCATCTTCGCAATTCCTTCCCCCTCACCGCGTCATTTGGACGCAGAGCTCCAGTGCCGCACAACATCGAAGTTCTCGCGATCGCCGCCCGGCTCGAACAGCATGGACGATGCGCGAGATCACTCTGCTCGACCACGCTCCCGCGGTACGTGAGCTGCACCGCCGGGCGCAAGCTTACATGGATTACGGATGCGTGGACCTGGCGCGTGGGCGCCAGAACGTGGGCGCCAGATCCACTGATCGGGGAAGGTACCCCCGAACCATGAGGCCTGCTTTAGCAACAGAACGTGCCGATCCTCTACGAAAACGGGACCCGTCGCTAATCCAGTCGCCCGTTTGCGCTTCCTCGAATTTGGGCTTGTCACTGGCACTCCGCGCTCGCGAGAGTCCGCCCACTCGCCCCGAGCACACCAGGGGGGGTGCTCCCAGCCGCTCGCGCTGCACGCTGCACTTGCCGAGGTCGCCTGACGCTGCCCGACACCGTGCGTCCTCTCGCCCCATCTGAGTCATACAATGCGCTCAGTCCACGCTCTTGTCCTGCGCCTGGGCCGCAGGCTGGAAGTGGAGGCACACGCTCCACCCTCGTCCTGGTTATCGGCTTGGCTGCTCGCAGCCCCCGCTCTCACAATTGCTCGCTCTACCCTGTGTTCGGGCACCTTCCTCTGGCAACTTCTTGGATCGATCAGGCGTTCTGGAAGAAGCCAGTTGCGCTCAGGTCACGCTTGCGAACTCAAGCGCGGGCCCACAAACTACACTGGCAAAAGTTACCCTACGCTTGGGCGTGTTCCTCAATGAAACTGCTCGGTTTGCATTAGGTGGGAGGCGACTGCGTCTGGGTCGCGATTGCGTGTCTGGCCACTAGACCGTGGCATTAGCGTCCATGCGAGTGCACAACCCATCGACTGCGCCTTCCCACGCGCAAGCATGTCCCAATCAAGAACAAGGACGCCCTCTGCAACATGGACTTGGTGAGAAGCTGGAGCAGGAGACGGCCAGGCAAGGCAGCAGACCAAAACGGCAGTCCATGGCCAAAGGAAGAACCAGCGCAGCATCGCTGCGCTCGATCGCTCGCTTGCGCGCTCGCTCTCTGTCTCTCTCTCTCTCTCTCTCTCTTTCTCTCTCTCTCTCTCTCTCTCTCTATCCCTCTCTCTCTATCTGTCTCTCTCTCTCTGTCTCTCTCTCTCTCTCTCTCTCTCTCTCTCTCTATATATGTATATTCGTTATATGTGTCGTGCTATGTCTCTTTCTCTTTCTCTCTCTCTCTCTTTCTCTCTCTCTCTCTCTCTCTCTCTCTCTCTCTCCATATCTATGTATATATATATATATATCCATTTCTTCTCTCCCACTCTCTCTCTCTCTCTGCCTCCCACCCTCCCCCCCCTCCGTCTGGGCAGAAGGCCAAGCCCAAGTGTTGCGCTAGGCGTGAGTCGACCCAAGCGGGGGAGCAGAAACAAAGGAGCCCCGCCACGAGTCCTGCAACCTCGACACAGCCATGAGGCAGGCTTCTGGAGGCCAACCAGATGGGACCAGAATGAACGGGGCCCACATATCGCATCGCATCGCCGACGCATCGGCGGTGCGTCGGCGATTTCGGGATGGCAAAGCAAACCCTTGCTATCGCCACAAGGCCGATGCATCGGCGACGCGCTGCGGCCTGACCCCATCTGCTTCAACCCCACACAAGAGGCCCGAATAGCTCCACGAATTCCTCCCCGCCGTCCTCCTGCTGGCCTCGCCGCCTGCGACCGCCTGCCCCCCCGCTCGGCGAGGAGGACGATCGAGGATCGAGGACGCAAGAAAGAGGAGGGAAAAGAGGAGGACGAGGAGGAGCACCCAGGTTCGAGGATGCAGGATCGAGCATCCAGGATCGAGCGAGCATGGAGGATCGAGGATCGACAACTCGATGATCCACCTCGGAAGAGATGAAGATATAAGGAACACAAAAAAAACATAAACATAAACGTCAAGAGAGGTCCGAGCGGACTTCTTGGATCGGCGCTGGACCCCTGTTGGCACCTCTGGCGCCGCCCCTGGCGCCGCCCCTGGCGCGTTCCGCGCGCCAGGGAAGGGATCCAGCGGCGCTTCAAGAAAGCCGCGCGTACCTCCGATAATTGATCCTCCTGCTGGTTTCTCTTCTTCGAATCTCGGAAGAGAAGAAAAAGAAAGTCGGGCTCCTGTCCACTTCTTCCTGTCCGCATCTACCCGCTCTGCCAGCTCCTGCAGCAACTCCTGGCCCTTGGCAGTGTCGCCGCACGAATGGCACGGAATCTCCAGGATCCTGCAAATGTCCTCTAGGCGCGCACGATCTTTCCCGTCACATCATGTGAGTGCGGCGAAAGACTGTCATCAGATCCGTCGCCGCGCCTTGATAGAGAAAGACAAAAACGCACAAGCTTGACCTTTCGGGGGGCTGCGCGGAGTTCTCAGATCGGCGCTGGACGCCCACTGCCGGCACCAGAGGGACGTGGCGTGCCCCAGAGCTCCCAAATGGGAGTCTGCCGAGTGGGCCGAATGGGCTAAGAGGATCGCACCGCATCGCCGATACATCGCCGATGCATCGGCGATGCCTCGGCAATGCATTGGCGCCATCGGCGTGGAAAAAATCGGGCTCCACATCGACCCGCATCGCCGATGCATCGGCGATGCGGCGCGACCCCCCCGACCACACCCACTCGGACCCGCATCCCGGAGGCCCGCAACAAAGCCGCGAGCGGTGAGCACCAAAGGACCGCCGGGGTCCCGAGAAGCCCAGGCGCCCGACGGGCTGGCCCTCTCGGGCAGCCCTCCTCCTCGGGGTGCCGCGCACGAGCCCCTCTCGGCCCAAAACCAGCGATGAGATGCGTTCTCCGTTGCTGGATGCTCATTCTGGGGACCTTCCAAGAGCCACTCGCTCCACTCATGCGTCGATGCTGCATCGACCGTCTGTCGACTCGAGTCGAACTTGAGCCGAGCCAAAGCCGAGCTAGACTCGAGTCGAACTTTCCTCCCTTCCTGGGATTGGGTGGGATGAGGAACGAGGTGGACCTGCATCATTGTCCTCCTCCAAGGGGCAGCTGCCCGGGACCTTTCCCGCCGAAGACGGCCCCAGAACACCAGGAGGCCCCGAAAAGAGCCCCAGAGGCCCCCAAGATGCCCCCAGGAGACTCCAAGTGACCTCCAAAGAGTCCGCTGGTCGATCCAGGCACGGTGGCGGAGTGGGCCGAGAGCCTCTAGATCCCCCGCCCCCTGTTGGCGAGGGGAAAGCTTCCTATTGCATGAGAAGTGTTTGACATTGCTTGGCACTGCGTCGCATTGCTTGGCATTGCTTGAAATTGCTCGGCATTGCTTCGCATTGCTTGGCATTGCCTGGCATTGCTTCGCATTGCTTAGCATTGGTTGGCATTGCTTGGTGTTGCTTGGGGCACCCAAGGAACCCGAGGAACCCGAGGAAAACGAGGAACCCGAGGAACCCTGGGAACCCGGGGAACCTGGGGAACCCGGGGAACCCGAGGAACCCGAGGAACCCGAGGAACCTGGGGAATCTTCGAGCACAGGGCAAAATAAGCTCCCGAGGAACAGTTACTTTCACGAATGAAAAGACTCTTGGGCAAGCCAGGCCAAGCGAGGGGCCAGACCAAACAAAGGTTGAGAATGTTTCGGGCGGGGCGCCCGGCCAAACCGCGGAGGCAGTCTTTGACGACGTCACAGAATCGCCCAAACCACGTTCTGTTCACTTTCCTGAAAGATCAGACTCAAACTAAAGATATGGATCACCCCAGGGGCCCCCTTCCTGCGTCGGAAAACCGTATAGAATTTACTGTGGGGGGGACCGCGCGCCCGCAGATGCGGCCATGGTTGGGCGCAGAAACCTTTATGTGTCTGTAGGGTGTTGTTGGGGCCTTGGTGACCCTGGTGTGGGGTTAGGAGAAATACTTCCGAGCCTGTAGCCAACACAAGAGCTAACCACTGCAACAAAATCGAATTAAAAGGCGGCTTGGGCACGAGAACCGCACAGGTACAGTAGAAGACCGCGAAGGATGTAGTGTACAACAATGGGGTGGGCGCACATAAGAGGAAGAAAACACGATCTGGAGCGTAGAGTGTTGGCCTGGTTACACAAACGAGTGGCGCCCGAGAAGCTGGCGTTGCTGTCGATATGTGCGTACTACTGCACGTATGAAACGCGGTGTTGACCAAATGCGTCCCCAACATGCAAGTACCGGCTGCGGGTATTCGGTAAACAGGTTTGCGCCACCGGAATGAGCTGGCGGTGGCTTAACAACAAGTTGCTGGTTATCGGGTTGGCTTTTCGGATAAGACGGGCATTTCGCCGTGGTGCTAACGGTGGTTGCATGGACAACCAAGCAATGCCACAAAGAGTACCCAACCCATTTGCATCAAGTGTCAGAGGGACTCTGCCCAACTTCGTATTCAAGGCGGTAACGCAAGAACCGTCATTCATTGCGCAAGATACACAACATGCGCGCGCTGCACGACTTGTGGGACAACCACAGGAAGACGAAGATGATACCAAAAAAAGCGAGATCCCGCTCTGATGTGCGTAACACAACACAAAACTGCTCCCAAATGAACCCACGAAAATGGCGACTGTTTCACGCTTGACAATCCCTCAGAGATGGCAAAGTCCCGCCCTGATCTGCCTAGTACCGCGCTAAGCTCCCCCCCCATGCATCCATCGAAAATTGCAACAGCCCCGCAGTCCGCAGCCCTTCGGATGACGAAGTCCCGCTCTGGTCCGTGTAGCACCGCAATAACATGAAACCCCAAGGAATCCGTGAACATGGCGACGCTGTCGCAATTCGCAACCCACGCGGGCGGCGAGGTCCCAGTCTGATCTGCGTAATACTGCACTCACCTAACCCTCCCCTGTCGTCGAATGTGGCGACAGATTTGCACTCGCAGCCCCCACAAGATGGCGAGGTCCCGCCAAGATCTGCACAACGCCGCGCGAAGCTGGCCCTCCCAGCTCCCTTCGAACGCTCGCAGGTCGCAGCCCACCCAGAAATGGCGAGGCTTGCGCTTGGTACCCCATTACTGCGTCTCCCGGAAAATGTTCGGATTTTACGACTCGTTTCAAACTCGCAGCCCCCAGGAGTGGCGAAGTCCAATCTGAACCTGCGCTCGATACCCATTACGATGGCCTTTCCCGGAAACCTGTCGTCGGCGACGACAGTTTCGCAGTTCGCAGCAGCCCAATACCCACTGCCCCAACCCCCAAAGGATAGCAATGTCTACTATGAGTCTGCGATTGGCGCCCACTACGCTGCCCCCTCTGGCGACGAATTCGCAAATCGTAGAGCCAGCACCCCCCCAAGGATGGCGGGGTCTACTATACGAACCCGCGCTCGGTAGCCACTACGCCCCCTCTCCACTCGGAATTTGCGACGCGCTCGCAAGTCTCAGCCCCCCACGGATGGCAAGGTCGAATCTGCACCTGCGCTCGGCAAACATTTTGCGCCCCACCACCTCTGGTGCTTTTGAAAGAGGCGACAGTTCCGCGGTTCGCAGCCCCCCACGGATGGCGAGGTCAAATTTGAATTTGCGCTCGGCACCCACGAAGCTAGGCCTATCAGCAACCCTAGAAAGTGGCGAGTTACTGTCCCACAGATCGCAAACACCCAAGGATAGCGAAGTCGACAAACGACCGCATTCTCCCCCCCAAAAAAAAGAGGCGGACAACACGCGCGTTACCCGGGGGGGGCGATGGCGGGGTAACGGCAACGGGGACCGCGGCGCGCGCCCCCCGAGGCACGCCACCTACGTCGTCGACGTCGTCGTCGCCGTCGTCGACGTCGTCGCCGTCCAAGCCCACTGCGTCTGCGCACACAACACGGGCAGGTACACCACAATGCCTTTGTGCACCAAGAGTGCTACAGAAAGGGTATGTGCGCGTGCACCACGGCGACCGCATACAGCATAACAGCCGTGTGCGCCACAGCACCTTTGTACATCACATTGCTTGTGCACACCACGGCGCCCGCGTGTACCACAGCTGGTGATCCAGCACCCCCTGTGCACTACAGTACCTGGGTACATCACAAAGCTTGTGCACACCTGAAGGTACCATCGAAATCAAACTCCGGAAAATCGTTGGGAGCAAGAACGTATCAAACTCATTATCTGATTTGATTGTGAACATTGTTTTTCTGGCAGGAGGAGCAAAACGAATCCCACGATGGGGTCGACAGCTCGGGGCCCGCGCTCTTTTTCCAAGAGCACTGCCAAGATGCACACTTTCATCTAAGAGAAATTCGATGCAGGAATCCGCGCACGAGACCGCCAACTGGTCTGCGTGATGCACCACGCACAGCCTGCGCACACCCATCTTATCAGCATCATCATTATCACTGCCTGCGTCCTGCATGCGCAAGGAGAACGACGACGAGGAGGACGAACATGTAGAGGAAGAGGAAGAAGTACGAAGAGATGCGTGGGCGCCATTCTATCCCACAACGCACGCTTACATCAGAGCGACTTTGCGCACTACAGCGACTGTGTACATCGCGGCGCCTGTGTATACCACAGGGCTTGTCATGTGTACACCGCAGTGCTTGCGTACACCCACTATGCCTGTGTACACCACAGCTGCTGCTGCAACGACAGATGTATGCGCCATAACACCCGTGTACACCGCAGTGCCTGCGTACACCATAATGCACGCCTGGGTGCACCGCGGTACTACAAGCGCCTGCGTGCACCACAGGCCCCAGGCTGCCCGGGATCGCGAACTGGACCGGGCCGGGGCGTTAACGTTAGGGGGGAGAGGGAGGGGGGCAGGGGGGAGTAACACGTGCTTTCTCGGTATCATATGAATCTGCGTTCGGTACCCACTACGCTGGCCCCCCGCTGCCATCGAAATTGACAACAGTTTCGCAAGTCGCAGACACCCCAGAGTAGCAAGGTCTAATCTAACTCTGCGTCGGGTACTCACGAAGATCGCAGAGAACCCCCAGCACCCCTCGAAAGTGGTCGCGATTTCGCAGTTAGCAGCACACCCCAGGATGGCGAGGTCGAATCTGAATCTACGCCCTGTACCCACAAAACTCGCCTCCCCAGCAGCCATCGAAATCGACAACAGTTCTGCAGTTCACAGCCACCCACAAACGGCGAGGTCTAATATGAATCTGCGCCCAATACCCACACAAATGGCCCTCCAGCAGCCTTCGAAAGTGGCAACAGTTCCGCAATTCGCAGCCTCCCAGGGGTGACGAGATCTAATATGAATCTGCGTTCGGTACCCCAGTCATCCAGACCCCGAAAGAAAACAAAAAATAGTTGCGACAACTTTGAACTTCGCAGCCCCCCATCGAGCCCCCAGGGACGACGGCGAGGTAGGAAACGCAGGCAGGAGGGAGGGGAAAGGAGGCAACGGGGAGGCGGGAGGACTTGCGACCGCAGTGCTCTCTCTCTCTCTCTCTCTCTCTCTCTCTCTATATATATATATTGAAAACGAGAATTCCACGCATTGGGGCTGGAAACAAAAAGCCAGGAGGTGGGCTGAAGCGAAGCACCTTCGCTTTGCGTTGACTTCGTAACAAAACCAGGCTGCTAATGCTGCTGCCGCACCGTCGTCCTATGAAGACGACCTATGAAGGTAAGCGCGCGTTGTCTCCTTTTCCTCTTGTTCAGGATGGGAGAGGAAAAAAGGAGAGGTGAAGAGGGAGACGTTCGTTGGTGTCTCGCCCGGTGCAAGTGACAGGAAAGGCGGCGAAGGCACGCTCTCGGCGCCGGTTGTAGTGCGCTGGCAAGGTTTTTCTCTCCACTGCACTCCTGGCACACGGAGCGGCGTTCGGGGGAGGTGAAGAAGAACAAAAAGAAAAAGAAGAGGGATGCACGTTCGCTCTCTCAACGTATGGTGGCAAGGCCGGGGTCCTCGAGATCGATTCGCAGTCCCTCCCTGTCTTCGAACACGTGAACCTCGATTGGGCACGAGTACCAGTCGTCCCACGTGCGGCTGATGATCCTTGGGGAGGAAAGGCTTCACCGGGGACCACTGGGGTAAGGGACGTCGCGCCTTGAATGCACCGTCGATGCATCGCAGATAGATCCTGATCGCTCAACTGGCTCATCGACGGCAAGGAGCATTCTTTCACAAACCGGCAATTAATCTCGCTAGCCCTCCTGCAGGCGTAAGTGATTTAGCGGATCAGTTCTTCCAAGGCAAACCCTCCTTCCCCTTCGTACCCGCCAGCGTGCTTCAATACTGGTGGAGTGTTCCAAAGCTCACACAATTGAAAGCGTGACACGGACTTCAAATTGCTGTCGGGCCCCGATTTCCGTTCTCATGGAAATCCTGGGTGCTCCAGGTCGCGCGTCTCCTTCCTCTCCTCTCCTCTCATTTCCTCCTTCCCTCCTCGTCCTCCTAACTCCTGATTCCACCCCCTCCCCTTTCAGCTCCTCATCCACCTCCTCTTCTCTCGTCCCATCGCCACAATCACCACCATCATCAGCATCATCATCATCATCATCATCCTCATCATCATAATCAGCAGCAGCATCATCAGCATCATCATCATCATCATCCTCATCATCATCATCATCATCATCATCATCATCATCATCGTCGTCGTCGTCGTCGTCGTCGTCATCATCATCATCATCATCATCATCATCATCATCATCATCATCATCATCATCATCATCTTCATCATCCTCATCATAAGCAGCATAATCATCATCATCAGCAGCAGCAGCACAATCACCACCACCACCATCAACATCATCATCATCGGCATCATCAGCATCAGCATCAGCATCATCATCAACATCAGCAGCAGCATCATCATCATCATTAGCATCATCATCAGCGTCGTCATCATCAGCAGCAGCATCAGCATCATCGTCATCAACATCATCGGCATCATCATCCACAGCATCATCATCATCATCCACAACATCATCATCATAATCGTCATCGTCATCGTCATCATCATCGTCATCATCATCATTATCATCATCGTCGTCGCCATCATCAGCATCATCAGCATCATCATCACCGTCACACGTGTCAGCATCGTCATCATCATCATCATCCCCAACATCCCCATACGCCCCATCGTCATCAGCAGCAGCACCATCGCCAACATCAGAATCAACATGATCATCATCATCAGCATCATCATCATCAGAATCAGTATCCTCATCATCGTCATCATCAGTACCATCATTACAGTAACCACCATCAGCATCCTCACAACCATCATCAGCCGCATCATTATCATCAGCATCATCAGCATCATTATCCTCACCATTACCATCATAAACATCATCATCAGCATCATCAGCAGCATCATCAGCATCGTCATCGTCGTCGGCATCGTCATCAGCATCATCATCATCATCATCATCATCATCACCAGCATCATCATCAGCAGCATCATCAGCATCAGCATCAGCATCAGCATCGTCGTCGTCGTCATCATCACCACCACCATCATCATCATCATCATCAGCAGCAGCAGCAGCAGCATCGTCACCTTCGTCGTCGTCGTTTTCTTCGTCCTCATCCTGCTGTGGGCGTGTCCCTCACACGCCTCGTGGCATCAGCATCAGCATCATCAACATCATCGACCATCCACCATCCACCATCTACCATCCATCATCCACTGTCCATCATGAAGCACTCATCATCCGCCATCCATCGTCATCATCATCATCAGAATCACCACATTCATCAGCATCATCATCATCATCACCACAACCAGCATCATCAACATCATCATCATCATCATCATCATCATCATCATCATCAGCATCATCATCGTCATGATCGTCATCATCATCAGCATCGTCATAGTCGTTATCAGCATCATCAACATCAACATCAACATCATCAACATCAACAAAACCGTCAGCATTCGCATCATCATCATCATCATCATCATCGTCATCATCATCATCATCATCATCATCATCATCATCATCATCATCATCGGCATCATCAGCATCATCATCCGCATCGGCATCATCAGCGTCACCAGCATCATCAGCAGCATCATCATCAGCCTCAGCATCATCGTCATCATCATCATCGTCAGCATCATCGTCAGCATCATCTCATCATCCACATCGGCAGCATCATCATCATCATCAGCATCAGCATACTCATCCTCAGCAGCAGCAGCAGCATGATCGTCAGCATCATCATCATCATCACCATCACCATCCGCATCATCATCATCATCATCATCATCATCATCATCATCAGCATCAGCATCAGCATCATCAGCATCATCAGCATCATCATGAACACCATCAGCATCATCAGCAGCATCATCCTCATCACCCGCAGCATCGTCGCCTTCGTCGTCATCGTATTCTTCTTCATCATGCGTTGGGCGTGTCCCTCACACGCCTCGTGGCCCCATAGGGAGCTCCACCGAAGGCCCCTGTGGCTGCGCCCGCACGGTGGCCCGCCCCATTTCTGCACAACCCTCACACGCGTCGTGGCCTCATAAGGAGCGTCACCGAAGACCCCAGCAGCTGCGTCCGCCTGGTGACCCGCACCATCGTGGAGCACCCCTTACACGTTCCGTGGCCCCACGGGGAGCCCCACCGAAGAGCCCAGTAGCTGCGTCCGCATGGTGACCCGCCCTATGTCAACGCACCCCTCACACACCTCGCGGCCTCATAGGGGGCTCCACCGAAAGCCTCAGCGGCTGCGTCAGCATGATGACCCGCCCCATGTCGGCGCACCACTCACACGTTTCAGGAACTCCACCAAATGCCTCCGTGGCTGTGCCCGTACGGTTAATTACCCGCCCCATCCCGGCGCATCCCTCACACAATCCGCTGCCCCACAGGGAGCTCCACAGAGGAGCCCAGTGGCTGCGTCTGCATAGAGACCCGCACCATCTTGGCGCACCCCTCACACGCTTCGTGGACACACAGGAAGCTCCGCGGAAGGCCCCAGCGGCACGGTCCGCCTGGTGACCCGCCCACCACATGTGGGCGCACCCCTCACACGTTGACCAGCTCCATTGCAGCGTACCCATCACAGGTTCCGCGGCCCGAAAAGAAGCTCCACCGAAAATCCTGTGTCCGATCCCCATTCGCGTTCCCGTGTCCGATTTGACGCGTGAGGGTGCGTGCGTGAATGAAGCGGCTTTGAGTGTAGTTGTCCGTCTATTTGCGAAGCGTTCAGGTGTACGGCCGATCCCTAAGTATGTTCACACGCATTTCAGCGTTCCTGCCAATATTCGCCACGCGTTTACTATGGGTTGGGTTCTCGGCCAGGGTAGTTAAGAGTTCCCAAAAGAGGCCTCGGCCGATCCCACCAGCCAGCTGCAGAGCCTCCCAACATGTACGCAAGACGGCTCCAAGATGGCCTCCAAGATGGGCAAGATGGGTTCAAGATGATCTGCTAGATGCCTTCACGACGGCCAAGGTGGCTCCAAGAGAGCCAAAGACGATCCCAAGACGGCCAAGATGGCCCCAAGTCAGCCTAAGATGCCCTCTAGGCGGCCCAAGGAGCCCCCCAAGAGGCCCCAAGAGGGTCCCACGAGGATCGCCAGGAGGGCAAAGTCATTGATGTCCCTGTGGTATTTCAGTGAGTTTAACGTTCTCGCCTTTTCGGGCGTCCGACGCTCCAAGACGGCCCAAAGGCCCCAAAGATCGCAACAAGACGGCCCAAGGGGCCCCAAGAAGCCCGCAACGCGGCCCAAGAGGGCCTCAAAACGGCCCAAGAGACCCCCCAAGACGACCCAAAAACCTCCAAGACGGCCCTAAAGCGCCCGAGGAGGGACTTCCCAGAAGGGCCAGCAAAACTGCCTCCGCAGGCCAAGAGGTCCCTCAGAGGCCCCCAAGAAGCCCCAGGAGGCCCCAGTAAGCCCCAGGAGGCTTCCAAGAGGCGACTCAGAGGCACCCAAGGTGCGCCCAGAAGCCTCCAGGAAGCCACAAGACGGCACCCAAAGGCAGAGGGAAGGAGGGCAGAGGGAGGGGGGGCGGCCGTTCCTCCCAGGTGTGGCGGGAAATGAGCCGTGGCAGTGGCCAGGCACTCAACCATAAGCACCGAACCGAACAGACCCGATCCATGCGCGAGCTGGACTGGTGTAAGGCACGCAAGTGGCCATCCGAAGATGGTAGCCAGGACAGTTCAGGCGGGCCCTGATCTGACATGCGTCGCCGCCACACACGACGCGCAAAGTGACACCCACACACACACACACACACACACAAACACACACACACACACAAACAAACAAACAAACAAACAGACAAACAAACAAACAAACACCACACAAACGCCCACACACACACAGTTTTGAGCGTTCGCGGGCTGGGCCAAGCTCCAGGCCGAATAACAGGTCTGCGGGCGCGCGCGCCGGCGAGGCAAGAAAGAGTGGCAGGGCGCTCACAGGACGGTGGCATAACAGGCACGATGCAACGGTGGCCAAAGCTGGCCAGAATTAGGACGACAAGGGGCCAGTGAGACAAAGGCAATTGGGGCCAATCGAAGCGGAGACTCGCACGCACACACACACACACACACACACACACACACACACACGCACACACATACACATACACACACACACACACACGTACACATGCACGTACACATGCACACACACGCCTTTATGACGCTGAACATTACGGCTGCTCTCGGATCGAGCGAAGGGCGAGGGTGGCCACGGAAGGCCAGGGGTAAAACAAAAAGGGATGAAAGGAAGTTGGATCGAGATCCAGTCCCCATTGGAAAAATCAGGATGACGCTGCCCAGTATGCACAGGTTTCCTGTTTTGCGACACGCCGCAAACCTGAGAGATTGGTTCTAAGATTCCCCACGGAACCCGTAATGACTTTTTCAGCATGCCTGGCCGTGGGGGGTGCAGGAAGCGCAAGAAGAGGTCGAGGGCCTGTCCACCACCATTTTCAATGTATCTGGGACTAGAGCTTTCCTTCCTAGTCGCGTGAAGTTGGCTGTAGAAAGCTGTATAATGCAAGACAGAATCGATAGCTTGGTGCACGCTTGAGTGATACTGGGGTAGTAGCTGACGAGCTTGGACAGAAGGCGCAAACGCTAATGGTACTGTAACGGACCGAACTTCCTGAGAGGCATTCCCTTCCCGCACTACCACGCAGCATTACCACGCAAAAAAACAAAGGCCTGAATGCCCTCGAAAGTGCACATCTGCTTGTGATGCATCCTTACTTCAATCTCGAGAACGCTAACCTCTGGTAAAGTTCAGGCGCTGAGAGAACGTACGTAAAAGCCTGCGCAGCGCGGGCCGAAGAGATGCGCGGGAGGCGCTCTTTCGGAAGCCGCGGAGGATCTCGAGCTGCTCCTTGGGAGGCCACCGCATGCCAGGCAGCAAGAGCAGGCACAACGCAAAGAAGCAGCAGATCCTGCCAGGCCAACACTACTACGTACGTATCCAGAGCCTTCGCCCCTGGTCACTCCTCTCTCTCTCTCTCTCTCTATCCCACCTCGGGCCAGAAAACTAATCAGCAGGGCCCCTGCGCAAACGTGCCTGCGGCAGGTCCACGTCGCGATGAACGGTGGAGCCCACCAGCCCTCTAGGCGAGCGTGGTATAACGAATTATGTCCGTCCCTCTTCTCAAACTCCTCATTCCCCTGCTCGGGGGGGGGGGTCGGACACTGTTCCCCACATATTCATACCCATACGACTACACGTCGGGTGATAAGAAGGATCGGGGGGAGGAACCAGCGTATCACTCAATCAATCTCACTATCGATATCACTATCGATATCACAACCGATCTTACTCCAGCGATCAAACTATCGATCTCACTAACGATCCCACAAATCGATACCACTATGAATCACACTATTGCTCTCAGTATCCCTGTCACTGTCGATATCACTATCGATCTCACTATCGATCTCACTATTGACCTCACATTCGATATCACTGTCGATTTAGCTATCGGATTCGCTATCGATATCACTATCACTCACACTATCGATCTCACTATCGGTCTCACGGTCGGTCCCAATGTCGATCTCCCTATGGATAACACTAACAAACGATATCACTATCGATATGACGCTCGGTATCACAAGCGATCTCACGATCGATCTCACTATCGATCTCACAGTCGTTCTCACTATCGATCTCATTATCGGCCGCACTATCAAGCTCACTATCCGCCTCACTAGCGATCTCACAATCGATCTCACAGTCGATCTCACTGTCAGTATCACTATCGATCGCCCACTCGATCTCATTACTGGTCGCACTATCAACCTCACTATTGGTCTCACCATCGATCTCACAATCGATCTCACTACGATCTCACTATTCTTCTCACTAACAATATCACTATCCCTCTCACTAGCGATCTCATAACCGATCTCAGTATCGATTTCAAAATCGATCCAACTATCGATCTCACTATCGATCTCACGATCGATCTCACGATCAATCTCACTATCAACCTCACCACGGGACACCATGGGACACAGGAATCCGCGGGACACCATCGGGACACCATCGCGACACCACGGTGACGGAGCAGCACAGGACACCACGGGATACCGCGCCACGGGACACCACGGGACACCACGGGACACCACGGGACACCACGGGCCACCGCGGGACACCGCGCCACGGAACACCACGGGCCACCGCGGGACACCAAAGGACACCACGGGACACCGTCGGGACACCACGGCGGAACACCCCACGGCCACCGACCGCCACGCGGCCGGGGGGGAAGGGCTCATTCCTCTCGCCCGCACGCACGGCACGAACGCGAAACCGAAACCGATTTCCCAGCGAGAGGCACTCTCCGTTTCACGGCGATCTCACCCTCCCCACCTCCGATACAGCCCCCTCCCCTGCCCGACTGGCGACAAACCAGGGCAAACGAGGGCGCCCCGCCACCCCTGTCCAAAAGCAATCATACGTGCATTTTGCGGCAAAGTCTTGGGTCATGTTTGGGGGCCTTCGAGCACGTTGCGGTGTGTTTGGGCAGGGACTGCGGAGGTGACAGCATGTGGCGTGCTGTGTGCAGGGCAACCACCACTTCTAAAAAACCATGCAAACTGCACTTCGCGGATAAATCTGGATCTGAGTGGGCACGCCACAATCACGTTGCACTGCCTTTTGACAGGGACGGTAGGGGGTGCTGGCATAGAGCCTGCTGCGTATGGAGCCCCCGAACTCCCGAGAAACCATAGAAAAACTCAAGAGTTGGGCGATTTGTGAGAGGTTCCCCCCCGGAAAAACCCCGGAGAAACCCCCGAACCCCCCGGAGAACACCTGAAAAGCCTCCGACCGGAGGGTTTTCTGAAATATGATTGTTTTTGGTGGGGGCCCCAGAACCCCCGAAAAAACAATGAAAGACACCTGGTTGGGTTTTTGTTAAGGAGTTCCCCCTCCGGAAAAATCACCGAAAAAACTTGAAACGAAACCCGAGTTGGAGGTCTTTCAAGTGTTTTCCCCTCGGGAAACCCCGAACACACACTCGAAAAAATTCAACAACAACAAACAAAAACGAACAACTCCCGGAAAAAAAACAATGGGGGGTTTCCCGGGGGGGTCGACGAACTGCCACACCCACCTGGTGGCGTGATGTTGTGTAATATATATATATATATATATATATATATGTGTGGTGAGCTACATGGTGCAACCTATGTGGTGTACGCCATGTTGTGCACGCGTTGCGGCATGAGCAATGTGTTGCAAGCTGCGATGTGCAAGCTAGGTGGCGTAAGCTATGCTGTGTAAGCTGTGTGCCGTGAGCTATATAGTGTGAGCTATATTGTGTAAGCTATGTGGTAAAAGTTTTGTGCAACATATATAGATATATATATATATATATATATATATGTGTGTGTGTGTGGCGTGAGCTATATGGTGTGAGCTATGTTGTGCAGTTCTGCGAAATGTAAGGAAAACTGAGTGGTGTAAACTATGGCGCTCGATGCGGCCACGGGCGGCAACGTGGCGAAACCTCGTTGGACCCACCAAGCGCACGAGGCGGCCATGAGGCGGCCACGGGTGGCAACGTGGCGAAACCTCTCCGGACCCACCCATCGCACGAGGCGGCCAAGAAGCAGCCACGGGCGGTAACGTGTCGAAAACTCGCCGGACTCACCCAGCGCACGAGGCCTCCACGGTGACAACGTGGCGAAACCTCAACATGGAAAATCCTCGCCAGACCCATCCAATTCCTCAGTGACCCAAAGTAAGATCTCCTAAGGGCAGGCACTGCTTGGGGAATCCTGTAGTGTCTTGGGGGGCCGCTTGAGGGGCTCTTTGGGACCACTTGTGCGTCTATCGGAGGCCTCTTGGGGCCTCTTGGGGGGTCTTGGAGGCCTCTTCTGGGCTTCTTGCTGGCCTCTTGGGGGCCTCCAAGGTGCTCCAGGGGTACCGGCCAATGGAGGACCGCTCGGGGGGCGCTTGGGGAGCCTCCTGGGGGCCTCTTGGAGACCGCCTCTGGCTCTTAGGGCGTCGTGGGCGCCTCTTGGAGGATATTGGGCATTGGTGCCATCCTGGGGAGGGTGAGATAGATCCGGGAACGTGTTCCGCTGGAACAATGCAAAAATGCACACGCCACATTCATGCAGATCTGCCGCTTTCAAGGTGCCAGCGCGGACTGGCTTGTCTACGGCACCGCGAGGTAGAACGAAGGCGAAATGCGGTGCACTGCGCAAAGCAGTGGGAAAAGCCATGGGGCACGGCGCCCCACGTCTGAAAAGACGGGCGGGCCCTGACACCGCACGCCGAAAAACCGCCCTCAAAATATCTACCAATGAGGCGCGAAACCGGCCCCAGCGGATTGGTGTACACATGTTGGTAAAATGTTGCAGGGAAAACGCACCGGATAAATATACACCAATCGAAAGCGCATTGAAACATATCCGCCAGTCAAAAAAAAACGCAAGAATCGACAGAGATTTTCGCCTGGAGGAGGGGGCAAGACCGCGGGCACCAATGCTGATACCATTGAGGAAACAGCTGGCGAGAATCGGAGACGAGGGGGGGGGCGACGACAGCGTCGCAAAAACACTCTGCACCGACGTCGTGACAATGGAGCATCATGCCACACCGCACACCTGGGCTGCAACTCGACGCCCCCTGCAAGTTCCCGAAAGTCACAATGGTCAGCCGAATGCATCACCTGATGTACTGCGTGCTCCGAATCCGGGGGTCCTGTCGGGACCTCCTGAGCCCGTGTTTGGCCTCCCCTGTCCTGGGGCTGCGCTGTGCGATCTTGGAGCCAGCTTGAGGCTCCCCGGGCCCCACCGTAGGCGGAAAAGCGAGACAGTCAGACACATTGAATCATGGTTTTATTTGCTTTTACGCACCGACATGTGGCCCTCGGGGGTGGGTGCCGAGGTCCCCCTGTGCGCAGCGGGCGCTTCAGCAGCCCCGCTTGCGCTCCGACCGCGCTGAGCAGCCGCCTGCGCTGCAACCACGAGAAGTTCCACCCTGCAGCGAGCCCCGGATCAGCTCGCCACGAAGGGGCCGCGAAAGGGGGGGGCCCGCCGGGGCCGCGAGGCCGGCACCAGGCGGAACAGGCGCCGGACCGAGGGGCTACCACGTGAGAGCCGCGCGGCGCGGCGCGCGTGATCGGATGGCGAAGGGGAGCAAACCCGACGCCGGGGTCGTGAGCACTCCTCTTGGGGACCGTGCCCGTGCCCATCAGGCCATGGCATGGAGGCCGTGGCCTCAGAATCCAGTGGCTGGATCGATCGAATGGAGGACAGCTCTGCGCGACCAGTCAGCACCGACTCGGGGGTATCGGATCGAGCGGGAAGTTGCGTCGGATCGGCCTGCATCGGCACGGAGTCGAAGCCGAATCGGATCGGCTGCGCCTGAACGCAGAGCAGCACCACGCGAGCACCAGGCCGCATGAGATCGTCAGGATAACAAAATCGAATCGCATCGAGCGGGTAAAAATCAATACGGAACCGGATCGGTCGGAGCACAGTGGGCCCTGCCCTGACTCTGCTGCGCGCACACTCGAAATAATCTGAAATTGACAGCTTGGCCAGATCCTGGTGCAGGTCGGTGTGCGTGTTCAGCTTGGACTTCGCCTCCTTCAGCTCTTCCGACGCCTTGTCCAGCTCCTTCTGCATCCCCTCGGGGCCGTTTTTTTTTATGAGGACAACTCGCTCCTCCACCACCACCTCATCCTTCTCCCCTCCATTCTCTTCTGGCACAGGCAGGGGCAAAGCACTGCACCAAATCCGAGCGAAAGCACAACCCCCAAGATTCGAAAGAGCTTCTCGCGTTGGGGTACATTCTGGACACGGACAACTAACTTCCACCTCTGGCTCCGCCGGCCGATCTGTCCCTCCTATGTCGGGATGGGTGCAGTCTCCGTCGGGTTCCACTGCACCCAATGCACCCATTCCCACCGAGGGGGGGTATGCTGGGAGAGACCCCGAAACACTGTTTCGGTAGGGGTTGGGATGACTCTGACGACGATGACTAATCACACTCATCTTGAGCCCCGTTTACACTGTCCCCTCGAAAATTGTCGTCCAGAGGTCTTCCCCGATACGAACTTGTCTCAGGAGATCGGGATCGAGGCAGTGTGTCCAGCAGCAGCGCCCGAACAAAAATGATCGTCAGCAGGATGGTTGTCCGCTCCCCTGCACGCAGGATGACGACTAGGATAAAGGCAAGGGGAAATCCGCCGACCCTGTCGGCGTGTGTGAGGGACTTTTCAGTCGTCGTCGTCGTCGTTGCCGTCACCGCTCCCCTCTGGCCCTGGGACCTCCTCCTCAAACCTTCCACTCAGAGGGGAAACGTCGTAATCGAATCGACGGAAGCCCCTTCCCTTTGATTCCTCCCCCGCCAGGGGGGGGCGTCCCAGGGAGATCCCGGGAAGGGTACAAGTCAAGAATACCGTCCCCAGGACGTCAGGGCTCCGCCCCCCCGCCCCTCCCCCTCCCCCCCCCCCTCGCTTCCCCCTGTTCACCTTTGGACAGGAGGGACAAACAGAGCGGGTGGGGGCCCTGTGAGCAGAGAGAACCGAAGAACTTCCCCTCCCCCCTCCCCCCCGGTAGGACAGGGGGGTTGTCTGCCCTGTGGACAGGAGGGATTCTGGACCCACACCCACCCACCTTCCCCCCCTTTTGGACAAGGACGGCAGGCGGACCTCCCCCCTGTTACCCCGCTAATTCATTAGACCCCCCCAAGACTTGTACACTACTTGTTCGGCGACCTTACGACTACAGTTACGATTAGTACTACGACTACGAGTAGCTAGCGACCACGACTACTATTACGACTACGCCTACGATTGCGATTACGACTACAACCGCGACTACGACTACAACTACGACTACGACTACGTCTACGACTACGACCCCCGACTACGACTACTACGACTACTACGACTACTACGACTACTACGACTACTACGACTACTACTACTACTACTACTACTACTACTACTACTACTACTACTACTACTACTACTACCTATGCTTAAGGAGCGCTCTCACGGAATATCCTAGCTCAGAAACTCGATCCTCAGAAACTCCACCCTCAAAGCCCCATTAGATTGCAATAATCGTGAGAACTTGCTCAAAATTCCTCTCGTGTGTGAGGTAGCCGACGGTGCATTATTCAGTGGGAAGAGAACCACCCAAAAACATCAAATCAACGAAGACGGAAAAAGAAATGTACCCCGTGGTTCACAGGGCGCCGGCCAGGCGCTAACAGAAAATTCTGCCAGCAGCAAATAATGAGAGCAGTTTGAGATAACGCGCGACTCAAAGCAACGTACATGCATTGTGCAATCCCCATGAGAAGATGCAACAACATTTTCTTGCGTGTGGGGTGGCCCACGGTGGATTACTCCCTGGGGAGGGAAAAAAAACAACAAACAAAGAAAACAAAAAACTAGCATTAACGAGAAATTCCCCTTGTTCACCAGGCGCCGACCAGGCGCCGGCAGCAGTTCTGCCAGCAGCAATAATAAGAGCAGATTGAGATAATTCGCGACTCAGCACGATGTACATTAGTATTTCAAGCATCATGAGAGAATGCTCGATATTCCTCTCGCGCGTGGGGTAGCCCACGGTGGTATTTTCGCAGGGAGAAAGAAAAACAGCTACCCAAGAATATCCTGCCCAACGAACATGACTGGGAACGTACTCCCCTGGAGCTGCAGGAGCCGACCATGCGCCAGCAGCAATTGTGCCAGCAACGATAGATAGGAAGGCAAGCTTGAGAGAACTCATGAATCAAAGGAATGCACATCCCGCTTGCAATCCTCATGAAACGATGATCACAAAACCTCTCACGCGCAGGGGCGCCCACGGTGGAGTATTCCCTAAGAGAAAGAACCCCCAACATTATCCAGCCCGCCCGCCAGAGGGAAAATATTCTCCGCCTCGTCGACGACGACGACGACGACGACGACGACGACGACGACGACGACGACGACGACGACGACGACGGCGGGGAGAAGCGCGAGGAGGGCGAGGAGGAGGAGCAAGGAGGAGGAGGAAGACGAGGAAGAGGAGGAGGAGGAGGAGGAGGAGGAGGAAGAGAAGGACAAGGAGGAGGAGGAGGAGGAGGAGGACCCGAGGCTCGAGAGGGTCGCCGCGGCTGCTAAGCCAGGGAGCCTCGAGGACAGAGCAGCGTTGGGCGCTGTAAAACCCGCCCTGTATGGGGATCCCCGTCCGAGGGTGCCGACCCGCCTCGAATTGTCTCAAGGCGGTCGTCCTGAGACGACTACCCTCCCAGCTGACGGGCCCTTTACATGGGGCCATCAAGACGCGAGAGTGGCGCAAGGATGCTGATCCACCGCAAACTCGACTAAACCCGAAAGGGCCACTGGAGGCCCTCTGATGGCCCCTGATGACCTCGGTCAATGGCTCCACGGGCCCGAGGGCCCTGGGCGAAGCACCCCCTGCACCGCGAGACCCCAGGGACTCAGGCAGGGCGGCCGCCGCCCCGTCCACACCAACAGGCCCGGACTGGGGCCCGCCCAAACCCGACGGCCCCCTCGGCCCCGTTCGGAGCTCTCGACCAACGCCCACTAGGGCGTTGGTCGACTGTTCGGGCACTGTTCGGGCCTGTCTGTTGGTGGCGACTACTCCTCCTCCTCCTCCTCCTCCTCCTCCTCCTGCTGCTGCTGCTGCTGCTGCTGCTGCTGCTGCTGCTGCTACTACTACTACTACTACTACTACTACTACTACTACTACTACTACTACTACTACTACCACAACCACTACCACTACCACTACCACCACCACCACCACCACCACCACCACCACCACCACCACCACCACCACTACCACTACCACCACCACCACCACCACCACCACCACCACCACCACCACCACTACCAC